GGAGAAAAGGCCTGCGTGGACCGCAGGGAAGGCTGGGCTACCAACATATGTATATACAGTATATATATTATATATATTATACACATACTGATTCACAACTTATTTTCCTATGGATTTTGTTGATTAAAGCTGTGTTGACTTTGCTGTGCAAGCGGACGCGCTGCTGTAGAGCGTAGTCTCATTTGTCACTGGTCTTCTGTGTCAGTTCTTTCGTGCGGCTGGTTTGGCTCGCTTTCGCTTGCAGAGTGTCTGACCGCAGCTACAGCGAAAGGCGCAGTCAGAGCTCTGAATTCTGATGTAAGGTAGCTGGTTTCATACAATGTAGCAGGCACCGAAAAAGCATGAATGAAGTTGTTGAGTCATGAGGATTTTGGCTCCTGCAGGCAATGGCGCACGTGACTTTCATTGCTCGGAGTATCGATGGCTGCTGTGCTGGAAGGTTTTTGCTTTTACTGCCCAGCACATTGGGAAATGGAGCAGGACGAGTTTCGACTCAGACCATCTGAGACTACTAATACTAATTGTGAGAGGCTCGGGAATGGCCGTCCTTGGATTGTTGGATTATTCATGCCGAGGCCTTATCCTTGTTGAGACTTGGGATGACTCCAACAAGGCCATGATCCTGCTGAGATGCCCATGAAACCTGTGGGACCACTGTGACGACTGCAGGTCTCCAAGCAGGTCAAGGATCAGGCCAAGGCTCTTTTGCGGAAGTTACACAACATGCCTCCGAGATGCTCAGTAGAAGGAGCGCCTTCACAAATTCACCCGAAGATATTCCAGACTGTTTTGGTTTGGAGAAGCAGTGGCAAGTCCTGAACTTGCAATGCGCATTCTTGCAGGAGCCGGGGAGTTTGTGTTTCACTACACCATGGACAATGGAACCTTGGCTTCAAGATCGCTCAGCACACCCAGGGATACCTGCCAACCTTCCCCCAAAAACATTTTTTTGGAGATGTATTGCTTCATGCCGCAAGAGAGCAGGGTGTCAGGTGCTTCCAGCTTGTACTGGCTATTGTTGAAGTTTGTAGCCAAGGTGTATGTTACATGGCTTTGTTTGACAAGAGAGTCTTGGTGGCATTGGCGATAAAAGAAGACATGCACCTGGGCCACGAGCTCGACGGACGGCCCACTTCTTCAGGCTACCCGAAGAACTTGGCGTTTTGCTTTCTTGAGGCCATGGGCAAAAGTCTTTTTTTTTTCTATAAATCTAGGAACCAAAAGAAAAGTGCGTGAGCTGTCCTGCGTCCTACCTAGGGGCGTCCTTACTACCTTACTTGATTCAATTAGGTAGGTAGTCTCTACTTAATTAAATAGTAGGGGGGCAGGCCACAGCCTAAAGATGACAAAAATAAGAAATACACTTGTGATCGGTTGGCGCTGAAACAGGACATCCACCAGCTCTTTCAGCAGGAGCTGCAGAGGGAGTTTGGCACAGGAGTGAAGAGTTTGTGCCGTGTTTTCCTAGTTTGTGCACTGTCTTTTCTCCTGTGTCTATGCTATATTGTTCCACTTTCCTTCTTGTCAAGATGTAACGTCAGGTCAAGAAACAGACCTGAAACAAGATAGTTCCTAGTCTTCTCCGTCATGTGTCGCCTTGTGAGGAAAGGTGGACCGAGTTACTTGAACACTTCAGACGCAAACAATCTCTCAACGGTTATGCCAGGATCTGTAGACTACAGGTCTCATATTGAGACCATTGCAACACGGCTCCAGAGCAAGTGTATTTTGACTCTCTGAAAGACAAAGGCTTTTTCCAATCTGTTTGGAGTGAGTGCCGCAACCTTTCTGGCTTGACAGTAAGGAGAAACCCTACTTCTTCATCAAATTTGATAGGCAAATTACAAAGACGCCTGGCTGGATCTGGTGAAATCAACAAGATGCAGATGGTTTGATCAGCTGCTCTTGTTTTGCGGTTTGCACTTGTCCGAGGAAAAATGCAGAGTACCGGGATCCTAAATCCTCCAAAGCTTTGAGCAAGCTGAACAACAATCTCCAGGAAGTCTCCAACATCATGAGGCCTTGAGTGTTCTCCAGAGCCCGAAGTGTCTTTGAATCACCTTCAAAGCCTGAGGGGTGTGGTAGTGATAGGGCCATGTAGTGTAGAGGCCATTGAATCATGGGGCTCAGGCAGAACATCGACGAGATTTTGAAGCGCGGCGAGAATCTCGAGTCTGTTGGGCGCAAGGCCTGCAGACAAGTTTCGGTGAGCAAGAGATTGTGCGGAGTTTGGTTGTGGTTTGTCAGCTTTTGGGGTTTCAATTAGCTCGAAGTATCTCCCACTACTTGTATTCACGTCGCTTCGCGACGGTAACCGCCCGCACCGCATTGGAGGGCTCAAAGACTGCAGTCATGCTCCAGGAACGGGTCAAGGTAGGTACTTCCATTGAACATAGCCCCAGAAGTCACCCCCCCCCACGTGGAGCCAAATATCCTGACATTCAAGTCCTTATCTCGCGGACACGTCCTTTAGATAGTGACTTCTAAAGCTATGTTAGGCAATATGGAAGCTATGTCCGGTCACGGTGGGGGGGGGCTTTATTCCAGTCCCTTTTGAGCCCTCGTTGGGCTATGTTTACGACGTTCAAGTCCCTATCTCGCAGCCACGTCCTTTAGATAGTGACAGATAGTGACTTCTAGAGCTATGTTAGACAATCTCTTTACTTTCTTCCAGTCCCTTTTGAGCCCTCGTTGGGCCATGTTTTGCGTTCAAGTCCCTATCTCGCAGACACGTCCGTTAGATAGTGACTTCGAGGGCTATGCTAGGCAATATGGAAGCTATGTTGAGCCACGTTAGGGGAGCTTGTTCAGCCAAATGTCCGGCCTCAGTCCAATTACACTTTACCGCGCAGATGATTCAAATCATGCAACGGAAGAAAATTGCATTTCTTGCATCACCAGGGGCTTCAAAATAGCACGAATTCATCTTCCAGCATTTTAAGCCGGTTCCAAAAACATGAAAAAGCACAGGATTCTAGAGCGAAAATGGCCCCCCCCCCTAGCTAAAGCTATTGGCTTGCCCAGGCTAGCTTACGTATACCGCGTGCCCCATAAAAAGGCCTCGGCACCTTCGGTGCGGGCGGATTTGGCAAGCTGCCAAGTGCTAGGAGGCTACCAATGCTAGTGTGGCTTGCTGTGAGAGACTCCCGACTGTCTCTACAACTTCCCATCCATCCTTGCCAATCTGATTTTTTCATGGCGAAGAAGTGCTTCAGCCAAGTAGTTTGCCAATTTGGTGGAACGTCAACGTGGCTAAAATGGAAAGTATATATCGTTCAGGGTGTTTGCGAGGGAGAGTGATGAGGCCAACAGCATCAAAGAGGAGTCCAAAAAATTTCGAAGCATGACTGGCCAGCTGAGCTTTCAGACCATGCTGCAGAAGTGACTCGACGAAACTGTGAGATTGTGCGGTTTGGACATGGCGACTTTTCGATCATGCTCTTGCAGAGATTACCCTTGCCCCTAAGAAGTTGAGTATGCCTGAGAGTTTAATGACAGCCTGGCTGGAAGAGTCTTAAAAGATAAGCTTCGGGCTTTATGTTCATTCAAAGCTTTTTTGATTTGATATGCTTCCCATGTAGGACTCCTGCCCAGCTTGGTCGCGAGGTATGGAGTCTTTGTGGTCATAGGGCTCATGGCATTCTTGCTGATTTGCTTTAAGCTTTTCAGGTCGTGAGGCAAAGGTGTCAAAATGTTCACCTTTGCCGTCATTTCTAGCTAATGCGAGGCATTCTTCAAGTGGCTCTTGGGAGCCTAGAGATGCGCAAGTAAGCCTTAGCTGAGTAAGCCTGCTTTCCCAAAACCTATATATGTTATATATTTACCACGTGATACCATGCATCCTATGTGTATGTCAACCAAAGCTAGAGATTTGACACCCGTAGGGAGTTGTGTTTCTTGACAACTATTTGGAAGAAGTGACAAATGCTGGCAAGCAGCAAATGGTGAGGCGTTTTGCCTACCTATGGCCCTTTGGAGCTTGCTCATATTTTCACTCCAAAAACAGCAGTGACACCAAGAGAAAGTCAACTGCGGACTGTGAGCCGTTACCTGTTCATGTTCAATCTCAAGACACGTACATGTCACGTGATGTTGCTGTCCCTTCGATATCAGTGCAGTTTGCAGCTGCGAATCATCCTAAGGAGGTTGAGGGGTTGCAGCTCGCCAGCCTTTGTGCGTGGATGGTGAGTCATGTTGTGGAAGTCAACTTCTTTGTGCATTGTTTGTCACGTCTGTTTGCGCTTTGTGTGCTTCTCATGCTTCTCACCTTCAGCAGCTGGGCATGGTGACATTCAGCCCGTGGGACCACGGGTGTGGCGCTGATGATCCAAACTTCTTTCTGTCAGGGCACTAGGCCCAGTCATCCATCAATTGAAGATCATCAGCGTGACAATGTGCAGAAATTCCTGTGTGTGTTTTCCGGCAATGCCTTGGGAGCTTTGCTTACCATGCTTACCTCCGCTAGACAAAACGAGCCGCATGCTGTCGACATACACTACCGAATACAGAACAACATGTATTATGTCGAGTGGATATCAACCCCAGCTCTTGACTTGGTTAGCATGATAGCTCTTCTCCCTTTGTTTTATTGGTTAATTTATCAGCATTGGGATGTTTTGTCCATTGGGTGTTTTGCTGGCAGACTCGATGAAGTCGATTTCATGTTTCTAGGTGTAGTAACAAGAAGCTACTAGTAACGAGGGCAGATGACAGAGGATACGAGTGACACATGTGGGAATTGCTGAGGGTCGCTTTAGTTTCACAGAGCAAGAGGATGAGCGGCTGTTGGAAATCAGGAGATGACCCATTTACGTAGCATGTAACCTTTCATAGCAACAGCCACTGATGTTGCTCAATCCATTTGTTTTGGGCTGTAGCGAAGACGGGCTTATTGGAAGACTAATTCGGTAAAGGTTTGGAAGACTACAGCCCCTTGAATTTGATTCCAAGAGTCTCGCGTTTCAGAGTTTTGAGGCCCATGCGAACGCGCTGACCTGGCAAGTCTCTCAGGAGCCTAAATGGCCTATGAAATCCAATTCCTCTTTGTGCAAGACAACGTGTTGTTGTCAGGTATTCTTGGACGCGCAGACCTCTTCACTTGTCTGGATTGCGAAACGCCCGCCCTCCAGAGAACTTCCGTTCCTGAAGAAACCCTCTTCGTCCTTTTGTTTCGCTTTTCAACGCACGTGCCACAGCCCGCCGTGCCTTGTTTCAGCTGCTGGGGGTGCTTCGGACTGAATTGCTTGTAAGGTAGCAGGCCAACTGGTAGAACTAAGAATCGTTTTTGATGTTTGGCATCAACTGTCGCAACTGTTTCTGGTTGCAAGGCCATTTTTGCAGGAATTTGTACAGAGGTACAGCACAGGCTGGCAAGATCTTTGGGAAAATTGGATCGTGGCGAACTCTATTTTGAAAGCTTTGGATTCTGCGTTGCAGCTTGTATCAACCGAACGCTTGTCCGCCGGCCATTTCGTTCTTTGTCACCGCGGGTTTTGATTTGCTCATTGACGTCTAGCTTTGCATATTTGTGCATCAGTTGCTCTTGGTTTTCTCAGTGCAATTGGTAGACAATTTTAACCCCACCGAGTGAGAGATCAATTATCAATGAGGGCAAGCCTTGTTGATTCCGAGACAGCATGTGCGACATCCTTGATAGTCTCAACAAAAGGCCTCCCTTGCATCCAAATAGCAAAAGGACTGCTTCGCTGCTGCACAATGGCCGTTGCCTTTTGGGCAGCATTTCGTGTGAGGCACGGCGATAGATGGTGGATTCTTGCCGAACAGGATCGAGTCTTCCTACCCCAAACCATGAGGACCTCATGAGCACTCAGTGATGGATTGGAATGAGTTAGAGTTCGAAAAGACTCAGTACCAAGACAGGAAATGAGTTCAAAGTAGCGCGAGCAGTGAGCAGGATCAATTTTGTTCTGGCCATTGCCATGGACAGTCTCAGTTGCAGGGTGCGACTTTGGGGTACCAAGCCTGCGTTCCTCAAGCTGCAACCCGTCGATTACCCTGTGTGACACCTGCAGACCTGCTCGCTCCACCTTCCCCTTCTAAAGCAAACCAAGCGTCAACTTTGCCAGAGTGAAGGCAAAAGAAGCATTGAAACCGTTTCAACTCTTGTTTTGCCTGCTCTCCAAAGGTATTTCCAATGCTCAAAACTCGAGATGACAACCTGAGTTTCTTTGCAGAAACAAACCAAGTCCCACAAGGTTGCCAACCACCAAACGATTCAAGCAATTCCGTATCGTTTCCTTGCTGCCAACAAACATTTGATAGGAGCCAGAGGTGTTTGTCGGTACTTGCCTGGAGATTGAAGTTTTTCCAAACAGAAGCTTTAGCCAGAGTGTCCAATGTCTTGCATCGAATCTTTAACTGGAACGTGCGTTTTGAGAGAATTTGATTTTCTTCATCCTGCATACTGCTACAACAACTTGCATACTCGTACCTTCCAGGCTGCCAGTGCGGCTTTTCGCCCGCCACACCGCAGCAGGCATGTTTGGAAAGACACTTGGCTGCTTGCGAAGGTACAAGTGTTCGCATATATACAGACCTGAGTTCTCCGAACAGCTAACAAAGCTACAGCTACTGCAAGACCCTTGCACACTATACGTATACGCTCAAGAGACCTTGGCTGAGGCCAGATGAAATGGCACCCAAACGAGTTGTGCGCTCCAAAGCCCCAATGCAGGCATAGCTCCTATGGCTTTTTTTGCCTTGTTTCACAATACTCACATTTGGTACAGTTGGAATAGCATTGAAGATCTCAAGTCGATCCTAAACTCTTGTGCAGTTCCGCACTGCATCTTGAATGTACCTATCTACAACAGCTTGAGATTCTCAAGTGCTTGAGCACTTAATGGCACCGTGAGCCACTTAATAGCACTTGCCTAATGCGGGTACCTTCATGGCTTCGTATCCATGTGATGAAAAAAACTTGGCACTAGTAGCTTCTTGCTACTAGTAACAAGAAGCTACTCGGGGCTCCTGGCCTTACTACTAGGAGTCTAGGAGCAAGGACGCTACTAGGGGCTCATGGCATCGCTACTAGGAGCAAGGACGCTAATAGTAACGAGGGCATCGCTACTGGTAGCGATGCACTTGTTACTACATGGCTTCGCCAGGGTCGACAGACGGTGCTTGGGCGTCCATCAGTCCCAATGCCTGGTGTAGCGCCCCACCTGCAAGCGCTTCAACGACTCTCCGAGTCCTGGCGTAGAAGCGAAGAGGCGTTTCTACGACCGAAGAAGCAATAAAAGACAGAAAAGCCACCAAGTTCACACTAATCGACTTATATAATTCAGGTCTGTGGTCCAAGCAGTCGCGAACTAAGGAGATGCTGCCACCTTTGGGTGGAGGTGGATTTTCATCCTCTTGGCGTGCTCGCCAGGCTGAATGGTCATTTTGCGGAGAAGCGCTTTCCATAAACTATGTGTTGCGGTAAAGAGACATCAACTATTCTGTTATCTGGACAGCGAGGAGCGATTGAGAGCCAACAACGACCAAAGGCAGCAGGACATTTGTATGACATTTGTATGCTGACCTCGTTGCAATACCCTTGCTATCCCGTGCTTCTTGAAGGAATCGCCTAGATTGAACACAAAACGAAGAACGTTTTTGTCGAGCCCTTTTCTCAAACGCAAAGGATTCAATGGGCAATGAGTCTATATCACTTGTATCTATCTGGAATCATTGACATTGATCAGTTCAGCGAAGGAAGACGTATTTAATGAGTCCAAGAAGTTTTTGATGGAGTCAGACATTTGGACATTCGGGAATATGTTGGCGTACCAGCGAAAGGCGTGGCACATGTTCGATCTTTTTGGAATGAAGCACAGCCGCGGAGTGGAGATATGGCCGAATCAAGAGAGTTGTTGAACTTTGTGCAGCTTGTGAGAACAATGCCAACAAAACCCAATCATGAGAAATCTGAGAGAACTGTGAGTATCTCCAGGAGCAAGGACGCTACTAGGGGCTCCTGGCCGTACTACTAGGAACAAGAAGCTACTACAAACTCCTGGCATCGCTACCGGGAACAAGGACGCTACTAGAGGCTCTTCCCTCTGCTTCGCTTTACCCTTTGCTCCCTGCACCCAGCTCTTGGACTTGCTGGGCGCCAACTCTTGGCGGCGGCGCCTTTCGGCCGATGACCCCAATATTCAATACCTCGAGAAGGAGAGACACGGAGAGAAATTCTGTTTTAGCGGAGAGGAGTCACGGCAAATGCCACTAAAAATGCTAGGAAATGATGAAAAGACACTTCCAATCCCCTTATACGCCCTCCAGCTACCCTGTAGCCGTCCCAGCCGAAGCACCAGCAGGAACTTCGAGTGTTGGAGGCCATGACGCCAGTTGAGCTGGCATCCAATCACAAGAGTGCAGCTCAATCGCAAGAGTTGACAGATTGCGTCAAATGTTGACAGCGCGCGAGGCTTTGGACATTGCTAAAGGCAAAAAGCAGAGCACAGGAATGAACCGCTCATACCTTGGCCAAGGTTTTCAACTCGCGGTCTATTGCCCTCATTGCTGAGAAGTCCAACACCACTGTGAAATTTGTCAACCAGGCAGCAAGACCAGCCAAGCAGGTCAGATACTGGCACTTTTTCTCGGATTGTTTGTGCAAGTTGCTTCTAATTCCTACTTACTTCTGGTGTTAGGTGATCCTAGAACATGATGTTTTACGTGCAGACCGAAGGTGGTACCAGTGTGGGGCCTCAGCCGGAAAGCTTGTGCAGCAATGTGTGAATGTGACAAAACATTTTTCAATATTTTTCTTACACTCTTTTGTGGCTTGACAGCTTGAAGGTTCAGAATTTGGAGAAGCAACTTAACAGTGACTTCCAGCGTATAGTGGGTCCAAAATGCGAAGTTGCCCTGTTCAGTAGGTTTCTGTTTTTTCCCGGGCCTGAGCTTCGAAGGATCTTGGCGCAGTTTGACAGACCTCAGCCAAAGTCATTTGAAGACCGGAGCTTCATGGCAGAGTGCGCGACAGGGAATTTGAAAAGTCGAGTTGCCACTGCAAGTTCGCATGAACCATGGGCACGAGCAGATAAAGGGATCACAATACCTTTATATACCTTGACATGCATTTTCTAGATTTTTGATCCTTCTTGATGGAACCTGAATCTGGTCCAACGCTGCAGTTGGATGCTCCGACACCAGGTACGACAGGCCCTTCTCACAGTCCGAAGATGACATGCGAGAAGAGCCATTTTGAGGCAGTTAAGCACCCTTGCAGTCCAAGGGTTGCTAGGGTGTTTGACCGACACATTCTATGGAACAGAATGGTGCAGGATGGGACCTCCAGGAATCGACCTCGAGTCTGAGTCAAAACTCTGGAAGAACAAGCCTGTATACGAATTTGGGATTCATTTGACTTAGAAGCGAGGGTCCACATTCCGTTTTTGGGTTAGAAGAATAGACAGGCTAGGGCAACTCCGCATTTGAAAACCTCTGTTGTTTGTTGGATGTTGGACCTCAAACTGGATGAACACCGGATTATATAATTAGTCAGGCGTTTACGTGAGGTCTTGTTGTGTCTCCAACACCGATACTTGCGCTTTGCAATCTCTGAGGATGATAGAGAAGCAGCAGCGCATCCAGAGCAAAAAGAAATCGAAGCGAGTCCCGGGCTTGGTACAACAAGCAAAGGACTGATCTTGTTTTCCTGATGCCAGATGGTTAGAGTTTTGCTTGTACGAAATTGATTTTGTATGTATATATATGTTCTACATCGTGTCTTGTTTTCTCTTGTCGATTGTGCTTCTTGAAAGATCTACAACTAAGTTGACCTGGATCTGGTACCGACACCCAAGCTGTGGGGGCAACCGCTGGTCCACGCGGCCACCGAGATGGTGGGACCTTCGGTTTACTTGCAGTTGGAGTTGACTCGCCATCGTTTCATGCCCTGATTTTCTGAATTGTCCAAGCTGAACCACTTGTTTTCCTATCCGTTTAAGCTTGGCAGCTATCTCTGAAGTCTATTTCCAAGCGGTGAAGGTATCCAGCACAATGGAAGACGCGGCCGGCAGGGCCCCTATTAGCATTCTACAGACTGAGAATTTTGGAATAGGACACAAGTGGGGAGCTTTGCTTGGAATACATGCAGTATTTGTGCTTGTGGCAGGAGCGGCGGCTACGCTTGGCTGGGGTGGGGGTTCAGAACTGAGTGCGCGGAAGAGAGGAACATGTGGCAGCCATGCATCATTACATGATTCAACTTTTGCTAGTGACTAGTCACAGCATGCATCATTATACGGCTGCCCCTGCAGCCCTTTTTGCAGGTGCCAGGTGGTGGTGGTGATCGTGGAAGACCCTGGGGCCGTGAAGATCTCAAGATGATTGTGGATTTCCCGCTCCGACTCTTTTGATGGCACGGACCACATTCGTATCGCTGAGGTTTGGCTGCCTGGGTGGGAGATGGTTGAAAAAGGTTTGAATGTACAGCACTTTGGCACTAAATGTTTGAGGTTTCAGGGTGTTCAGGCACACTTGAGAGATGTTTGAGCAAAGGACTGTTTCGGCTCAGACCCTTATTTTGTCTTCAAGCCAGTCGTAAAGTCTTGGACCTTTCCTGAAACGTGAGCTTAGTAATTACTGTGCACTGTTGGAATGGTGTCTACCTACACACTAGCTCTTGATGAATCCGCTCCGCTTGGCATTGCTCGGCGCCTGCACTTGTGGTGCCTGGGATCTTGACTTCGTTTGCAAGCACTCAGATGATCACGTTGTCTCAAGTCGGTTGCATGATGAATCAATTATATATAGTATTAATATTGTATTGATGCTGGGGCTGTCTGTGTTTGGCCCAAGTGCTGTTGGCCATCTACCTCAAGGGTGATGGCTTAGAATGGTATGCTTTTGACATTCTACTGGCAAACAGTGGCAGCGAAAGCACTGGAGAACTTGAATTCATTTGGAAGTACAATTTATACATTGTCTTTGTTCTTTAAAGTGGGTAAGGCGTTCAATCCAGAACAAGCAATGCATTCTTAGCAAACATTGTATATATCAGGAGTTCACATATGTCAACATGCTTTGCTTTGTGTGACCGCCTGTGTCAAAACGTCTTGGCCTTTGCTTATGCCGTTTTATGCCATCGATTTCTTGATGAAGCCAGCTAGCTGACGCCCTTTGCAGTGCAAGCAGGCGCAAACCCCATACGCAGGCCTAAGTCATTCTGTTTGCACCTGCATATATCAACATGTTTGACATCAACTTTGAGCACTTTTTGTTTCCCCCATGCAGGAAGGTCAGTAACACAGTTGTTCTTGTAGAATCTCGCAAAACCCACAAACCCTCTTTTCTCCCAAGGCTGCGGAGAGTTGCTCAACATTCATTCTGCTCTCGCTCCTGCCAACAAACAAAGACAGACTCAAGTCGCCCTGCTGCCAAGCAGCTATGTCTCATGCGATGAAGCTTCCATCATTTTGTTGAACCCAAGTACTTTCTACCAACGTTTTAACTTTTAACACACGTCAAGCACTTTATTTGGCACGTTGAATGAAAGTCGTGTTCACTGTTTCTGCATTCCAAGCTCCAGAAATCACGGAGCAGTGAAGGCCATGTCAAAGCGAACAAGCAGTGAGAAGAAAAGGAATTACAATGATAACATCCATTCCATTGGGGGACGGAGACCTGGCTTTGCCATACCTGCTCCTAGGTAGAAGTGGTAAAACAACTCCGTGTCCAGTTGTGGTCAGGCGAAGGTCTCCCCACACGAGACATGGACTTGGATGCCTTCCGCAAGTCCCTTCGTGTCGCTCTTGAACCGTACAGTACACGAGGTGCTCGGATGCATTCAATTTCTTGTCGCTTGCAATTCATAGTGATTGTTTCGAGGTGATCTTTCTCGAAGCACTATTGAGAGACTGTTGCGAGGCTTCATTGAGGAGACGATTGTTGAGCTATTGTATGTGTGAGCTTGATTGATTACATCCAGTGAAACAGTCATATTCTATTTCCCCAATAGCCATGCTATGGGGTCTTGCAAAACGAATAGGCGGACGGGCGCCGTCGGGTCACCGTCAGAGCTGGTGGGCGGATGGTGTCCCGGTCATGTTTTGATGGCGTTCGGGTCATGTGATGCTGGTGTCCCGGTGTCCCGATCATGTTTTGATTGTGACCCAATCATGTTGTGATGGTGTCCCGGTCCTGTTTTGATGGTGTCCCGGTCATGTTTTGATGGTGTCCCGGTCATGTTGTGATGGTGTCCCGGTCATGTTTTGAAGGTGTCCCGGCCATGTTGTCATGGTGTCCCGGTCATGTTGTGATGGTGTCCCGGGCATGTTTTGATGGTGTCCCGGTCGTGTTGTGACGGTGTCCCGGTCATGTTTTGATGGTGTCCCGATCATGTGATGGTGGCCCGGTCATGTTGTGATGGTGTCCCGATCATGTTTTGATTGTGTCCCAGTCATGTTGTGATGGTGTCCCGGTCATGTTTTGATGGTGTCCCGGTCATGTTGTGATGGTGTCCCGGTCATGTTTGATGGTGTCCCGGTCATGTTGTGATGGTGTCCCGGTCATGTTTTGATGGTGTCCCGGTCGTGTTGTGACGGTGTCCCGGTCATGTTTTGATGGTGTCCCGGTCCTGTTGTGATGGTGTCCTGGTCATGTTTTGGCGGTGTGCCGGTTATGTTTTGATGGTGTCCGGGTCATGTGACGGTGTCCCGGTCATGTTGTGATAGTGTCCCGGTCATGTTGTGATGGTGTCCCCGTCATGTCATGCTGGTGTCCCGGTCACCTTGTGATGGTGTCCCGGTTATGTTGTGATGGTGTCCCAATCATGTTGCGACGGTGTCTCGGTCATGTTTTGATGGTGCCCTGGTCATTTTGTGATGGTGTCCCGGTTATGTGATGATGGTGTCCAAGGAAGAGATGGTCGATGTGTTGAAAACAGCAGCTGTTTCCAGATTTTTCTTTTTGTCCCGGTTTGTATCTTGCTATTGGGGTCTCCAGCTGGGCTAATTTTTCCTTTTGAATGCATTTTCCGATCTTTTCAGCGCTTGTGAGGAGAGCTTGCATGGCCGTTTGAATGACGTGATTCAGGACCATGACAACAGCCACAATGGGGAATGCATATCAACCAACTACCGGGAGTTAATCCAACTAGTATGCGGAACAAGACATTCAGTTATGATCCGATCCAGATGTAACGTCTAAGTCACCATTTCTTGGACCACCAAAAGCTTATGTAAGCTGCCAGGCTTCAAACTCTCCGTGCGTGGCCTCCGAGATCCGTTCAGAAGTTCGGACATGCACCCGTCTGTGAAAACTCTTGTCGCGCATTGAGGGAGCGAACACCTTGCAAAGGTTGTTTGGTGTTCCCATGTTTGTAGTTGTGTTTGGGCGTGCATGTAGTTCCAGGTGCGTTGCTACAAGGTTCGGCACTCCTCTGGTTTTGGTTCTCCACGATTACTATCATTGCCCGTGAGAGAGAGAGAGAGAGATCAGCTTGCAAGAGGAAGTAGCTGATATTTTGGGCCAGGAGCTGGAGCATCGACCGGGCTGCATTAGCTTGAATGCCTTTATTGAATGGGCCTCTTGGCAAGTACAATTTGGCAATGTTTCACCTTGAGTTACTGACATCTTGGCACGGTGAGGTCTGTTCGTCACCGGGTCAGGCGTGGTTCGGAACACCTTGTCTCAGTTTTGAGCAGCCTGAATCATTGTTTGCCTGGTTGAAGGGGAGCACTTCAAGCAGCCTACAACTTCCAGCAGCTCTTGGAAGATCGACGTCAAGCTCAAAAGACAAATTTCAGCATGCGAGAAGCACACTCAAGAAGGTGAGATGCTGCTGCAGCAGCGCTCGCACGATCAAGGTTTTTCTTTGGAATTTGTCGCCCGAGCTTTTCCTATGCTCTTCACAACCTCGATTTGATTGAGCCAACTGTAGGTGCAATGTTTCCGCACGAAGGAGCAGTCTATGCTACTGGGTGCCGCTTGTCACAATCGGAAGCCACACGTGTTCCACCTGCAAGAACCGAAGACCTTGGAACAATATCATCGCTAGGTTCGAGGCCATCGATATTAGGTTGGAGGCCATTGCACTTATATAGATTCTTTTCTTAGTCTCCCTGTGTGAATTCCAATCTCTGAGGTCAGCATCAAGTTTCTTGCCAGCGACTTCTTGGCCGAGGAAGGGATCATGGAAGAGTGCCGAATGCAACCCTCTTTACGTCTGTACAATGTTGTTCCGCTTTTCTTTTCTATGAAGCCGATTTTTATTTGGAATGTTGCGCACCGTCCAGCTATTGCTGTTTTCAATTTTGCCACGAGGTGGAAGAGCACTTTGGGAACGGATCTGATCCCAACTACCATGTGCCAAGCTTAGGATAGATAACCTTTATAGCAATTCCAATGTGCAACAGCAGCCTGACGATCTGCTTAGGAGATCAACCCAGTGATGCTTCATGGGCCCAAAGCTCGAGGTTTTGGACTCCAATGCCCCAGAGACAGAGGGTTTGGAACCAGCTATGTGGATGCCTTGGATGAGATCCACACGGGCCCTGCCACAGTAATGCTCTCCTGGGTCTGGAAATACTCAGTTCGGACTGTGGTGACTGCCTTGGTGCGGTGGTGTGCGCGAACTTCACGGGACCCGCCATTCACCTATGTGTGGCAATGCGCTTTGTGTTGCTTGGTTTTTGCTTGTGAACGTTTGCAGTCAGCGTTTGGCAGCGGAGTTTTCCACATTGCTTTCTCAGGGTCTTTGAATGACCAATTCGAGTGTCATGTAATCCAACTCAGGCAACAATCAATTCAGAGTGGCAGAAAAGCGTGCAAGAAATGAGAATGAGGACTTTGATACCTTTCGCACAGTTTTTGAAGAGAGTGCCTGAGATGAAAGTCATTGTGCTGCTGTAAACTTCCCAGTCCGTTTCTTGCATCTCACGCCTCAGGGGTTCACTGCACTGGCCACATTTTGGCCTTGCTTTCACCCTGGCACGGCCCAATGTACACAACACGGATCTGGCTCTGCGGTTGCATTTAGCTGTGCAACAAGCAGTTGGAAGACTGTTTGGTATGGAATAGACTGCAGGAGTGTTGAAGGCTTTTGGAGTCAATACAGTTAGGCTTTTGGAGTCACAATACAGTTGGAGGATGAGTCAGAGGCAATCATGTAAGAACAGGAAAAACAACTCAGGTGCGTCTTCGAGCTTTGGGTTGCCTGCCAAAATCAAGATGTGAAGCTAGAGGCTGGGATTTGAGGTGTCTGCCCAGGGCACGGTTGCCCTCGGTGTTCTTGTTGTCTTGTACACACGAAACGCAATGTGCTTTAGCGCATGTTCTGTTGGGCAACGATCACGCAACTCCATTGCAAAAGACACAGTTTCAAAGGCCCTTTTCACTGAGCTGAAGTGAACAATGCACTTCAAACACATCGAAAGGAGTCTCTCAGGGAGAGGGTTGTCACTGAGTCTTCAGTTCTTTCGTCCAAGTGATTAGGTGATCCTCTCGGAGCAAGCTGAAAAGGAGTTTCATCGCGCTTTGTCAGCAGATGGAGTGGTGAGTGTCTGGCACTGAGATTTGCATTTGCCACTTTGCTATGTGGGTTGATACATACAGCTTTCTTAGCACCATTTTGTATCAGGTCTGGAAGGCTTTTGGTAACGCTTCAGCCCCAGCCAGATGCGATTCTGTCAAAGCTTTTACCATCTGTGAAAAGACCAGGTGCAAATCCAAAAGGCAAAGGCTTCTGTGCCAGCAGACCGGTCAAACATCATGCGGCTCGTGGAACCGAATATGACAATCGTGCCTTTTCAGACAATGTGAAGTGATTTCAAGTCTGCCAGCCGCTACTGTATCATTCTTGCTTCTGCCAGCCACCAAGGATGACTGCAATTCTTCGGACAGAGTGAACAAGTTGAATCAGGTGCATGCAGCATGATACTGTATGCGGAAAGTTGCCGAGCATCAGAGTGGGATGCTCTAGCAGTTTAGGTATCAGTGTATCTCAAAGTAGGATTGGAATACGAGGATCGTGTAGGTCAGATGGACGAATTTTAGTGGTCTGGGGTTGGGGTTTACCTGATTGGGTCGGTTGCCTCCATCACTACATTCTGTCCAAGAGTGACACCGGTGTCGCCAGGTGGTGGTACAGCGCTTGCAGGCTTGGTGTACTGAGGCGGCTGCCCAATTTGCAGAAAGCTGCTTGGAGGACAATGTGGCTGTGCAACCAAAGGCGGCTCAGTAGTTGGGTGTTCCAACTTCCATGTTTCTGACAAGAGTTTTGCCAGTGTTCGATGGAGCAGTCTGCATGGGAGGCTTGTGCCAATACAGCCTGGCTGTTGATGGAGGCGAATGACTGGCATAGAGCCATGGCACTTTTGGTGCAAGGCTGGATGGGGCCGTGAAGGCCAAAAACGGACTTATGCAACAATCTACGCATCCTTGTTTTTCTAGTTGTTGCCGCTTGTCTTGTGTTCTCAAGTTCTCAAAGCATCCTTGAAATAAAGTCTTCAGTCTTAGAGTCGATGTTTTTCCTGGTTTGCTGTTTCTTTGATGAGCCATGGCCCAGGTCGCCAGGCATTAAGTCGCCTCGGAAAAACGGGGTCTTTGGAAGAGCCTTGTTTATGATGGCAGCAAGGTCGGCAGAGCAAATAATGATTGGCTGGAGCATATGCACTCGTCAAGCTTGAGGATGCATGGCTTCTGAAGTGCATGGGCAACTGGCACACGGATCTTGGCCACTATGATGAGGCGCCTCGAGACTGAGGAGACGGGAAACGATTCCAATGCACGTTCACTTTCCTTTTATATAAGCTTTTGGACGTCCACTTTGGGATGTTGATGTGGAGGGCACCAAGCACTACAAGCTGGCAAAGGATGCAATGGAGGAAGCCGGAGCAACTGAGACAGCTGAATATGCGCTGGAGCTTAGAGGTTTTCACCTGTCTCAAAATCTTGCTGCATGCAGCCTTGAGAACTTTTTTGAGGCCCGTCTGCTGAGAACCATTGGCAAGAGCCTCATTGTGCAAGGCTGGCGGGCCACGTAAAGCGTGTATCATGCAGAGCACAAGCTTGGAATCAGTCGGATAAAACTTGATTGAAGAGGCTCTTTTTGTATCACCAAGATGTTTGGCTACAGTATATATATATATACACATCTTTTTTTACTGTAAATCCTCAAACATCTTGGTCCCCATTCACAACGGGAGTGTGCTTTGGACTGTACTGTAGCCTGGAGCTTTTTTGTTGCTTCTGGCTAGTTGACATTGGACATGTAGGTTAGGAACTCACCAGATCCATGGCTTGCGTACCAAGAATCTCATCTTGTTGCGGGTAGGTACCTGCATGCACTTTACGCCATCAGCATTTCAGAAGAAGCCGTTTATTCGTCCGAACATTGGGGACATTTTGATGTTGATGACCTTATTGCTTCCTTCACGATGACATCGTTGATGCTGTTGAATATTTGAGCATATTGACAGGTCTCCGATTTCGTTATCAGTCTGTTTGTCACAGGCCACGTGGAAGATGCGATGGAGACACTGCAACAGTCGCAGAGTGCCTTCATCCGGGCTCAAGCCACGGACACACCAAACTACGTGCCTTGGCAGAGAGGTCAAGTTGAGAGACCTACAAATCTCAAGACGAAGTGAAGACCCTTCTTTTAGTCAGTTTTGCTCTCTCAGGCTGTTTGTTTACGAAGTCTCGGGTTTTGCTGCCTTGAGCTTGGAGACCTGCAGCAGGCGATAGTCGTATTTGGAAGCTAGAGGCGACTAAATGCCTCTTTTTTGCACGCAGGCGATGGCCTGCTATTCTGAAGCAAAGGTGGTTTTTGAAGGCACTGGAGCAGCAAGAACACCCAATTATGCAGGACTTGTGATTGCACGTGAGTGACCAGCACCGCTTCAGAACACTTGGGTGATTCCGAGATCATCATTGGACATTATAGCTACAGTATGAACATTTTCTGTGCCCCAACTATGAACCTTCTTTCCCTCTCTATCTCTATGGATGGAATGTGGCGTCCGACCTGGCATGACCCTCTTCTTAAAGCTGATTTGACGGAGGCGTATTGTTTTCTTTTGTGCTTGTAGGACTTCTCACAGACATGGGAAGAGTGAAAGTCACTGAGCATGCGCTGGATGAGGCTATGGAGCCCCTTGGCTTTATTGCAGAACCAAGTCCTTCTCACAAAGCACTTTCTTCAAGACTTTCTGAAGACTTTTGTAGACATCAATGCCAGGCTCTTCCAACAGTCCCGGCTTGCGTTCGAGATGGCCGGTGCCGAGAAATCAAAGAATTTTGCAGATCTTCTCCATTTCATGGGACACTTGGTTATGACAAGGGTCTTGCTGCAGCCATACCTGGGATGTGGTGGTCCTGTTTATGATCCAAATGAATTAGGTGATTGCATGGATGAGCAGGGCCAGTACAGTGAGGCATTGAGGCCAAGCTTGGGAGAGAGATTTATTTGACAAACATATGATAAAGATTGGAAAGACAGTTGCACGTGGCATCGTACAGTCTATGTTGACGTTTGAAGTTTGGCTGCCAACGCTTGGCAGACACGTTAGATGCCCCTAAATCGCCAGGTATTTCTCTGAGGCGAAGCTCACATTCAACAAATGTGCACTCAATAGAACTACCAACTATGCTGCACCCTGGCAGTTTAAAGTATGTATCCATAGCCATGTTGGGATGTTTAGCCTCAAATCCTCAGGAACAAACTGCAGCCCTGCTTACAAACTTGAAAAGATGCGCCTTTCATGTTAGAGATGAGCGAAGGAAGCAGTTCATGCTCAGGCACTCTTGGCCAACATGGCTGACTGCATGGAGCATCAAGGCTGGCCTTGGAACTATCTCGTAAGAGGACCTACCAGCTCTACCCGCCTTTTTGTGAAGTCGGACCAAGAGTGGAGTAGTATGTAGTGAGCAGTAAACAGCCGGTATATCCATATCGGCAATAGTTAGCGTAGTTAAGGGGTCTTGAGTGAGTTACATGTGTGGCGGAGGCATGTCTGAAGAGGCCGCAGAACTACGGCAGCAGGTCAGTGCTCCTGGACTGCTTTCTTGTCATTTTCTCACGTAGACGGCTGGTAAAAAAGAGAAGACTTGCTGCAGGCTACCGACATTTACCAGGAGGCAAATGTGTCCAAAGAGGTGCTCGAGAATATGTCCCCATTGGAGAGACGTCGAAAACGCTGGAGCCTTTGAAATGTCCCAGGAGTCCGTCGGAGTCCGTATGAAAGGCATCAATGTGCAATGTGCAACGATTCCCTTGTCCATTGGCTACCAAGCTGCAAGTCTGAAGGATGTGCCACCAAGGTGTCCTCAACCATGAAAAATCCGGCACATGCGCAACATTGACTCCTGCATCTACGCTTCATTTTCATATGCCGGGTTGATATGTGCTGTTCATGTTGTTTGGGTACTGTACATTGGAAAAGCAACCTGTGTGCAATTCTGCCGTCGGTCCTTTCTACTGTAAACTCATCTAAAATCTCAGAAAGTCGCGTCCGGCGGAGCCGATTGCGGGCTTTCGAAGTCAGTGCGATGCATGTACAGTTGCAAGCGCGTGGCTTGCCATCCGCGTCCACCCAAGCTTGGCGTGAGACGACGGAAAGCACATCCAATCGTTGGTTGACAGGTCCGCCCTTCTGTGCAGAGCAGAGAGGTACACTTGCCACATCGAGCCACATTCTTCTTGTACAGACGCCTTACGTTTCAAGCGTTTGCATGCCAAAATCACCGCTTCACGGTCGTTTTGAACCTGTTCAGTTGCAGCAAAGCAGCTTGGTGAAGGGCGGTGAGATTACTTGGCAGGTGCTGATGGTAAGTTTCATCTTGGTGTCTCTAGCGAAGAGGCGCTGAAGTTCGGAGGCTCAGGGGTGGACTCGCTCAACCATGGTCAACCAATGTAAAGTTTCCTGAGCATTGAGCTACCCTTGTGAGGTATTTTGGTGAAGGCTCCCTGCCGCTAAGCCTAACCAGCTTGGCAGCTGACAGTCACAAGCTGAGAATTTTCCTGTGTGAGTCGCTGACTTACTTTATTTCTTTACTGGACCCCCCTCATTTAAAGCATGATAAATAAGAGCAAGAACAAGAGGAAAAAGCGGAAAGAAAGACGAAGCATTGTCAAGATTGCTCTCCAAACCAGCTGAAGGTATAGATGAGACCGCGTTTACTTCCTATGCCAGGATGGGAGAGTTATAAGTTATAAGCCTGAGATGGAATAATAGCACTGTATTGGATAAGAATGCAACACTAGAGTTCTCAGACCAAAGTTTTTCCGGGAAGCTCGGGTACAGGAGAGGTCTTCCAGTGGTCATCAAGAATGGCTTTCAGGGTACTCAGTTTGATGCCGCAGCCCTAGAAAGCCGCAAGAAAGCACGTCATCAGTCACTCAGGACGCATTTCTGGACATTTAAAGGTCTGTGCAACATGCAGGTCCTTGATGAGCCAGAAAAATGGACCTGCCGTGTGCCCAGTGGACAATCAGGTGGGGTTCAGTGAAGACAGTCTCACTGAGGTGACGCGATCGCAAAGAGATTTCCCACAGGGCGTATGAAGATGGAATACACAGCCAGTGGAGGCCACAGCTTGGGAGTGATCCACAGTCATGCTTTTGGTTTCCAGTGACAGGCAGTCACGAAAACCCCATCAGCATGAAAGACGTTGACAGTTGGTGCGAGCCTTTTCTCAGTTTGATCTGCATTCACCCACCTGCTGGGCACGTGAGCCTATTTGCTTTTCGGAGCTCGACAAGGAATACACAGGTATTTATTGTTCGAATGCTTCTTCTTGCGAGTCATATTGCAATCAGTTTTCTGAAGGTCAAAAGCAGCGGAAAGCAGCGGCGCTGATGATCCTGAGGAGCTGAATAGCACTTGAGATGCATCTACACTTTTTGATGGATGGAATTCTGTTCTGGCTTGAAGTCTCCAAGCTTTGTCGGCACTAAGATACTGACTTGGTGCCACTAGAGTCATGTTCTAAGTCACCTCATCATGTGAAAGTTATGTCATGGCTGCCACTTGCAACAAAAGGCCATGCAATCCTCATCAATAACCCCTTCTTTACTTGTACACACTTTGTGGAGCTTTATCGCTAGTGCTAATTAGCATGTCTGGGGAGGGCGTCTCAAAAAGTAGCAAGCCAAAGCCTTTATCACCTTTCTGGAACTTTCGGTAGAGTGTTGTTTGGACCGGCAGGCCCCACAACTTGTGTGCCTGCCTTGTTTGAGCATGATGAACCCAAGGATGCAGTGAGAGGATGCTTGCTGAATACTTTGACTCCAGGCTCCGCTGTATTGGGGTGTGAAAGGTCCGCAGCCCAGAAGAATTAGAGTAGGGTGGGAGAGGATACATATATACTATTATTTCCAACTTGCATTTCATTGGATGTCTGGAAATGAAAAGCCCAAGAAGCAGATGAACCGTTGGAGTTGGATTCCGCCTTCTTTGTCCCATTCTACCAGACCGGCAGAATGCGAACACTGGATCTAGTGTGATCACGGATGGTAAGCATTTCCTTTCACTATTGAGCGGTGAAGCTGCTTTCTTTGTGTTTGGCACGCCCGGACAAGGCGCAGACGACGGAGAGCGTCTTTGGGATGGAAAAGAGGCACACATGACAGTCAGTCCCTCTCTCCAGTTAGAAGTTGCTGCTTTCGCCATGCTGTTATGTTTATGAATTGGTGGCTGAGCCTGTTGATATCTTTTCGGCAAAGCCTGGATGTATGTATATAGTATATGTGTATATATATATATTACATATGTATCACGCAGACATGCACAGCAAACAACCCTGCCAGCCAAATATGTTCACCTTTCTAGAGACAACCAACAACCAGCAAACGATGTCCACCAACGTGGTTGCGCCCGACAGGGCCCTGTAGAGGTGCTCATCAGGATGTTCTTGTTACTAGTAGCTTCTTGTTACTAGTAGCGATGGCCTCCAACCTAGTAGCTTCTTGCTACCAGTAGTAACACTTGTTACTAGTAGCTTTGTTTTGTCAAACCCCGCATTTCTTGAAACAGGGCTTTTTACGAACCTCAACAATCTTGCGAAGATGCCCGATATTGAGTGCTTCGCTGTGACTTTGCAGCGATTCACATTAAAACCCCCTTGGAGTTGCTTCCAGTCTGCAGTGCAGCTGTTTTTTTTCTATGTGTCGAACTTAGGAGTCATTGCCAGTCATTGCCCATCGCCCCCACAAGCGGAACAGGTCGTCTTTTCGTGTTCTTGAAAGGAAGCTGTGCACGATTGCTGCAGCTTCTTTTCATTTGGCCTGCAGCATTTTGGTTGGTTGACCTCCTGCAGGATTGCAGGATTGACTTTGTTCCACAATCTATCCTTGTCTGTGTGCTGGCTTTGGTACGAAAGTCCAGCTCTTGAACCGGAAGCTTCCACTATGGTGCAACACGTCATTCAACGGTCGGAGCTTTGCCAAGCGCAAAAGCATCACATGAAAACAGGGCGTCTATCGATATAAGTGTTTAACATGTCCTACGTGGTATTCATCCACTTCTTCTCATTTATGCCGCGAGACTTGCACCACATGCGGCGTGAAGTCAAAAGCAGTGAAATATTCACGATGAAGTTGCCTGACAGATGTCTTCTATCAAGCGCTTTTCGCCAGCCTCGTATCGTCAGCCACATCAGTCATACCTCTGTTTCACTGACCGAAAGGCTCTTACCTCTCCCCGAACCCCCCACCCTTTGATGAACAAATGCCCCGCTGTTACCACTAATAAGGTCACTAATATTCGCACATCGTTTGCCAGGATTTGCTCAAACAGATGCGCAAGTTCATGCAGCCTTTGCCAAAGTTCCTGCGACAGACTCAGGCATCGGAGTGGGTGTTTACAGACTGCAGAGGGTAAGAGAATGCAGTCTACTTTTGGGTGCCGTCATGAACACCAGGACTTCACCCTTTAAGATTTTGGGGGGGAGCATTCTTGTGCAGCTTTGCAGCGCGAAGCAGGCAAATCAAAGGGAGATCTTGGGAAGCAAGGCTCTCAGCGTCTTTGTGTAGCGGAAGTTGTGTGTTGGTAGTGCTGCTGCAGGAGCAGTCAGATGCTTTACTATTCATGCAGTTGTTGATTTCTAGTTTGCAGGGCACCAGGCAAAGTATCGTTTGCCACTAAGCTACAGCCAATCAATCTAGATCAATGTGGTTTCATTTAGTACTGTTCGACGATTTAACAGACGAGTATGATTACGATAGTAAACCTTAATTTTAGTGAGTTGTTAGTTGTTAGTTGTTAGTGTTCACAATTAAGAGCTGCTCAAATTCTGGCTACTGTTCCTGTACAACTTGACATTTCTTTTCCTATGAGCTTGTGTATGTGCAGAGTACTGCAGATATTCTGCTGATTTGGTCAGAGCAACAGTTCCAAGAAGCTTATTTGCAGGTTCGGGCTTAACTTAGCAGCATCACAGCCGCAACATGTCCTCCTGATTCTTTGATCTGAGCGGTCACACCTCAAATAATCCGGAAGGCTGCTTGGGCAGATCCATTCTCTTGGTCAAACAAAGGGATGGCTTGACAAGCTTTGCTTTGAGAAATATGCTATCACACTACCGGCAGAATCAATGCTCAAGTCAATCTAGGCACAGACTATCCTTTGTGCTCGTTTGAGTAGCGTGTGCGTTTTCTTCTGCACAACATTATGATGAACTATGCCGATCCGAACAGAAGAGCAGCGAGGTCCTGAGTTCTGGTTTGCTGCTGCTGGAGCAGGTGCAAAGGCCAGGCATGTTGGCCAATCGCTCCGATCGTTCGGTGAAGTTTCTGGCACCTTGGTAAACGTCCCTATGATTATCCAGAGCTGATGCCAATGACCGTTTTCGTCTTTCAGGCACACATGGACAGCCATTGTGAAAGCACTTTGACATTGCAGCTGGCTGGAAGGACTGAAAGTGATTTCGGATGTGTGGCAGATCCTTTCGCTTTTTGGACCCAGACACATCTTGAAGTACAGTTTATAATATAGTTTCGCTGAGTTTGCACAGTATGTCGAAGTTGAATCTCACTTGAGGAAGAGGTGGAGGCCATGTGCAGATGCATTGGAGTTCATGTAAGAACACATGTGTCTTCTCAGCGCCATTTCAATGTTCTGATTTCTTCATACTGATTTCAATGTGAAGTCGATAATTACATGTGTGAAGGGAAGCTCTCTACGTGAGGCTGTCTTGGCCTCCCAGCATTAGCAATGGCAGCTTTGCCAAGGCAATGGTGGGATTGGTGCACAGGGAAGGAAGTTGTAACACTATATATGTGAATTGCAATACTCATATCGTTGGACTCAAAAGCAAGAAGAGCTTTGGAGCTGAGGATGGTCTCCTTGCAGATGGTGAACCATACCGTGTGAAGGTGGGCTTCTTTCGGATCTGGAGTTTCGACTGGCTGCGGTGCCAGGGAGGTTGGACGCCCACGCACAGCGTCACGCTGGAAGCAGGCCGTAGGGGCTCACCTGGATTTTAAGACCCTTATGTGGGGGAAGTGATTGAGCTGTTGAAGTGATTAAGCTGCTAAGCCGTTCGGGCAAGCGGTTAGTTTGTTAGGATATTAGACTTAGAGAAAGCAATTAAGCCAAAAGCCTTAATTATATATATATATATAAGTCGTTAAGGAAGACGCGCGATTACGCTGTCAAGTTGCTAGGACAAGCAACTAAGACATTAGACCGATATTCTGTAGCACCCTTTGAAACACAAGAGCTTGAGTTCGATGCAGAACTGTGAGATGCTGAACTTGTGACACGAAGGTGTGTGTGGTGAGTGTTTCCAGTCTTTTAGCCAACAGCCTTGGTGCTTGGAAAGATTGCAAATTCAGATTCGTGGGCCGCACAATCTAAATACATAAATATGACGCAAGAACTAAACAAAGAAACCAGAAATGGGTGGCCTGAGGTCTGTCGACAGAATAAAGACATTTATGAGATTGCACGGGTAGATCGCAAAAAAAAACACCTGCATTGATGCATTGATTGAACATGATTGAACAATCTAACAAACATCCCAGAGACCTCCAAAACTGTCTATGAGCAGTTAAGCCCACAATATGTACAGAGGAAACACGGTCGAGGTACTGATGTTCCTTTCAGGGAAAGCCCGTGCATTTGCAGAGTATCTTGGGTCAACACATTGGAAGAATGATTTTGATGCAGTTTGGTCGGATGAACGACATATTTTAGACAGTAATGGTGCCGATGAAAACTAGTTTACGATTGAGGAATTACATGTTGCACTTAAGAAGTCCAAAACACAGCAAACAACCTGGCCCCAATGGTTTGCACATGGAGTTGCTCAAATGGCTCAACTGCGACAATAGACAACACCTCCTTGACCTTACAAATAACTGGTCTCAAAGTGAGGCAGCCATGAAGGATCTCTTTGTCGCAAGAGTTATGTCCGTTTTCTAAGAGGGGGCAAATCGAGAACGCTGCAAGCTACACACAGACGAATTTCCTTACAGAGTAGCCGCAGCCTTTTCAAAGTGTGTACACATATATATCTATATGTATATGTGTATGTATATGTATATATATATATACATGTACATACGTACATATATATATATATATGGCTCAAGCCGTTTAGCCTCAAGCTCGGTGGCTTCCAGCCTCCGAGGGTCCTCGACTACCCGATCACTTCGAGGCTGCGAACCTCTCAGGCCAGATCGTGAAGGGTGCCGGCAAGCATGACTTTGGGCGGCAGCAACCTTTGCCGGTCCTACCAGGTTTGCGGGGGAGACCATTGCTTCAACTGGATCTGGTCCGATAAGATCCGAGAGGGCTATGTTTGCAGGCGATGCGGAGAGAAGTGGCCCTGTCCTCCTCAGGGGTATTCTCAAGCCCCACCGTCCAGATCACCCAAACGGTCAGGACGCCAGCAGATGCCGGTGAAGCCTCCTCCGGGCCTAGGCAACAAGCCCTACAAGCTGACGAAGATCCAGAAGGCCACCGCTGAAGCTTTAGCACCGGCTTGGTCTTCTTTGGACCAGACCCTGCAACAACGCCTTCAGGATCTTGGCATTCAGCCACCGCCCCCTAGTCCGGGGCCGGACCTGAAAGATGTCCTGGTGGAGAACATGGCTCAGCTGCCGCCACAGGTCAGGGAGCTCGTTGAGAAACTCACCAAACCCTCGCCTCCCACCGAGAAGGACATTGCTTCCAAACTCAAGACTCAGGTCTCTCTTTTGAAGGACTTGTCTCACAAGAAGACGCATTTGCAGCAGAAAATCGACCACACCAAACGGTCCTTTCAAGATCTTCTGGAGGAAATGAAGGCAATTCAAGGGCGCATTGAGGCCGAACAAAAGGCTCTGACAGCCACAAGTGCTTCCTACATGAGCAGGGTCAATTCAGCCAAGGCTGACTTGGAAGTTTTGCCAGACTCGGATGTGGGTGACCCGGTACCTGCAGCCGTCGCTGGCTTTATCAACACCTTGGGTGTGAACTTGACTGAGGAGCAACAGAAACAGTTGCAGAGCATGTTGAAAAGGCCGCCCACTTCCTCAGAGGAAGAAGCCAAGCGACGCAAGACTGAGGTCACGGCTACACAGTCTTGCGGGTAACATTTCCATGGCTCACGGCTTTGACCACTCTTTCCACTTGGGACGCAAGTCATGTTGTTTTCAACATGCCAGGGGATTCACTTTGGATTGTGGGGACTTGCGCAATCTTCCTTCGTTGTTGGCTGCTTCAGGCTCAAGTGTGGCCTCTCCGCGGGGTTTGGAGGGCTATGGGCCGCAGCGACGTCGACCTTCTTTGAAAGTTTTTGGGGGCGGACCAACACCTTCCGCTTCGGAGCCCACAGGGTCAGGGGAGGCACTGAGCTCTTCTACATCAGAGCGGCCTCTTAGGGGGACCGCTGAATTCAGGACCTTCCCGGGCTCTGCTTTGGCTCAGGTTTTGATGGAGGCCATGGAGGAGGAACAACCTTCAGACCTCGCCCAAGGGCAACTTTTCTTCTATGATTTGTGTCAGAACGACCTCACCGCCTCCAGCAAGCAGTACAGGCTCACTGGGAGGCCGCATCATGGCCAGCAAGTATTGGCAGATCTTCGACGTATGCAGAACATCATACATCGACATCTCCTCATCCCGGGGGACTACAAGCCACCTCTGGCTAATGTCTATGTCATCTCTCAAGTGTTAACCACCATCCTCCTCAATCCAGATGGACAGAACCTTTGCTATGGCAACGCACCCTTCCGATGTTGGTGCTGGACTGGGGCCTTCGCTGAGGACTCAGCCAAGGCATGGGGCTACACCCAACATGCTGTTCGGCGCTGTCTCACGGAGTCTCAAGCCATCTCGCTTGCTCAAGACCCAGACTTGGCTTCCCTTTGGGAGCGCTTCCACCGAGGCCAGCAAGCGGATGCAGCGGACTTCCTGGGGTTTTTGTGGGCCCACGCTGACTGCCCCTTCTTCGGGGGGGCGTTTCTTCCATCGGAAGGCTCATGGCACTGTGGAGGTCAGAGAACAGTTTCCTTTGAATGTGATCTTTCCGGCTGGTGATCACCCTATGCTGCTGGATGAGCTTATTTCCAACTGGGCAGATGAGGACGGAGGACAGTTTCTCTACGGGGCCCCAGATGCCTTGGTCATCCAACTCCAGATTCCAGAAGCTCTCTGAAGGGTGGACCAAACATGACAGGCCCCTCGACTTTGGCACCGACATCAACATACCCTTTTCCGAGGATGGCCACCATGTCCATATGGCTGCCTACCGGATTGTTGCCCTGGTCACTCACCAAGGATGTGATCATCACACTGGGCACTACCAATCCCTTCTGCTCATGGATAATGCTGTCTGGCTGGCTGACGATGGACAGTACCCGATCCCTTTACAGGAAATCTCACCTCAGCACCAACGGGAAGTCCTCCAGATTTGGCTCGTCAAAGAACCTCTGGATGAGCTCGTGGAAGACACTCAGGAGGCCCACGCCGAACCTCCTGTCAAGAAGGCACGGCATGGTCATGACTCCCTCACCATCATCTTTGCCAACATCACCAACTTCGGGGCCAAGGCCCAGGACTGGACGTGGACACAGGGAGATGCTTTCCTCCTTCTTCATGAAACCCACATGGGGGAAGCGGCCACCTCTCGCGCTCTTCAATACTACACCAACAGGGGGTGGAAGGCGTATGGATCGGCGGCCCACCCTACTGGGCAAGGAGGCAGCTCTGGTGGGTTCTTGACGTTGCACTCCACCAAACACCTCACGCATCAAGCTGCGGAATTCCTACATGAAGGCAATGGCTGGACCGCGATCGGGTTGCAGCGGCAGGGCATGATGATTTTCCTCATCCAGATCTACCTCAAGACGGGAGAGACTTTACAGTCTCACAGCAACTCTCTCATCCTCAGCCACCTCATGGCCTTCTTGCACCACTTGCGAGCACCCTTTGTCATCGGTGGCGACTGGCAAAATGAGCCAGCCGCCCTGGCTGCAACGGTCATCCAAAGCAAGTTCAAGGCACACATCATGGACGCTGGAGGCTGCACCACGTTGCATGGCAGTCAGATTGACTTCCTTTTGGTTTCCAACTCTTTGCATGGGGCTCTCCGACTGGAGGCATCTTGGGAGGTCCCGTGGAGACCTCACTGTGCTCTACATGTGCAATTGGATTGTGACCAACCCGCGCAGGCTGTCCAGCAACTTCAGCGGTTTCCTCCTGTTGGGCGGACTTTTCAGTTGCCTCACCAATGGACTAGCTTCCAGGAGGACAATGGGCCCTTCTACATTTTGAACCACCTCATCACGGGTCTGGGCTCTGACCTGGCTCGGTGGGCGACACAGACCGAGAAGTACATCACCCAGATGCTCCACAAGCCCACCCTGGGCCGGGGTTCTAACATCCGTCTGACACACGCCCCTCTTGTTGATGCTTCCACTTCGCGCAAGTGGTTACGGGGTTCAGTGGCTTTTTGGGAGAAGCTCAACGTCAGACTCAACGTTGTTCACCATTCTGGCCACCGAGGGGTCATGCGAGATCTACAGGCTATGTTGCAAGATGTCCCTCACTTTTGCTCTGAAGATTTCACTGCGGATGTCTTTGTTGCGCTCGTGGGGCAATGGCTTCAGCATCCCACCACGGATCCGGGGGACATCAGAGCTCAAATTTTGGAGCAGGAGCACCTGGCACAGAAGCAGGCCCTTCAATCCACCAGCATTGAGTTTCACGAATGGCTCAAGAAGGCCCACCATCGGGCTAAGGGGCTTGTTCCGCAGCCTCCGGCAAAGGGATCAGGCCTGGCAACGGCCCTTCCAAGACCCCTGCCTTGGAGCGCATCTCAGCTCGGGAGAAGCAGTGGGGAGACATTTGGCATCCCCTCACCGCCCAGACCCACATCAGGGGACTGGCACAGTTGAGGGAGCTTGCCCAGCAAGAGGCGCTCTCCTGGAAGCCGATTGACTCCTCGCTTCTTCAGAAGCTTTTGAGGCGTCTTCCCAACAAAGCAGCTGGACCTGACGGCATCTCCTATGACATGCTCCGACATCTGCCGTACCCAGCGGTGCACAGGCTAGCAGCTCTTCTTACAGAGATGGAAAGAGCGGCTCTTTTGCCCACGCAGCTCACCTACACCAACATTGTCCTCATTCCCAAGTCCGCCAAGGTCGAGCGGCCTATTGCCTTGACCTCCTGCCTCTATCGCGTTTGGAACTCCTATCGGAAGCATGACATCCAGCCCTGGCAGATGACCTTGGACGATGAGCTTCCATGGGATCAAGCACGACCCAAGAGGGACTGCCTTTCCATTGCGGTTGGTCGTATGCTGAAGTCCGAGATCAAAAAGCACCAGGGCATCCACACGGTCACCTGCTTAGCTGACTTATCCTGCTTCTACGACACCGTCAACCTGGACCACATCATTGAGCCCGCGGCGGAGCTCAACTACCCGCCTGTTCATCTCAAGCTGGCTTTGGACCTTTACTCCGGGCCCTGCCTGCTCCAGGCTGAAGGCATAGCTGGTGATCCGCGGCACTACTCCCATGGCATTTTGCAAGGGTGCCCACAGGCTCCTGCCATCAGCAAACTCATCCTCTACAAGCCGCTCAAGGCCCTTCAGCACGCTCACCCGGCGGTTGCCCTTCAGACATGGGTGGATGACGTCTCCTTTGATGTCTCTGGCCATGACCCGGATTATGTGGCTCGGGAGGCCATCTTGGCATACCGCACGCTTCGTGAACTCCTCACGGAAGCAGGCCTGAAGGTCAACACGGACAAGACCGGCTTTCTGTCCAGCAGCAAGGAAACTGCACGGGCTCTCAAGCTTCATCTCAAAGAAGACGATCCGCAACACCACAATGTCATGCGGGATTTGGGAGTTGATGCCACAGCTGGTCGACATAGGCGTGTCACTCAAGTCAAGAAGCGATTTCTCAAAGGACGAGGACGAGCTGGCATACTGCAGAGGTTGAAGCTCCAGAGGAACATCAGTCATCGCGTCCACAAGAGTGCAATCCATCCGGTCATGTCCTGGGGAGCCCAGGCGAACGGATTGGCCCCTCAGAGGAGGCAATACATCCGAGTCATGGCCGCCAGGAGTTTGCAACTTCAGCGCTCCGGCTCGGTTGATGTGGTCTTTGACATGCACCCCAACCAACCTGATCCAGGCGACTCCATCATACAGCAACACCTTCATTCCGTCTGGAAGATCTACCACTCCTTTGATGAGAGCACGAGGCATCTTTTCTGGACCAGTTGGAATGTCGCCTTGGGAGCTTTGCAGAAGGTGAGATACCGGTGGCAAGTTGTTTCAGGTCCCCTCCAGGCTCTTCAAGCCTACCTCCTGGACTATGACTTCGACCTCTCGGCAGGTCTCACTTGGCGGCGCACCGGCTATGGGGGCATTCCCGACTGTGTCCTCAGTCTGGAGGAATGTTGGCCGGAGCTCCTCTACAAGCTCTACAAGCTGCAGACTGAGTTCCGCTGGCAGCGACTCCTCCGTTTGACCAGGTACGAGGGCTGCCACGACCTGGAAAGACCGTTGGACTGGCAGGTCAGTTTGACTCTGCAGAAGATGTCGGAGAAGAATGGTCCCGCCCTCAGGGCTTTCCATCAAGGAACACTCCATGGCCAACAAGGCAATTGCCCTTTGTGTGGGGAAGACCTTACATTCACACACCTGCTGTGGCAATGTCGCTTTTGGAAGGGCAAAGTCAAGGACATTCCTGAAGAGTGGAAGTCACGCCTGGCCGCTGGTACGGAACCCGAACTATGGCAACGAGGCATGGTGCAATCCATCTTTTACATTCAGGAAGGAGGCATGGGCACTTTTCAACATGAAGGGCACTGGACCCCCGAGGCTGCTTTCGACATTCCGGCTGGACATGCCATTTCTCTGGCAGTCGCACCCACCTGCAAGGATGTCAGGCACAAGCGCTTTGTCTTCGTCCTTTGCATGCACCAGGTCTCAACCAAGCGACGGGTGGCGGCTCTCAAAGGCATTTGCCCGGGTCAACCTACCAGAAGCAGGGCCCTCTTCTATGGCCTCAAACATCTTGCTTTGCACAGTCAGGAGAAAGTCCATGTGGCCGTCTATGACCATGGAGTCTGGAAACATTGGCAGCCCACAGCAGCTTTTGAGCAGTTTCCTGACCTCTATCAAGGCCTGGACCCTGAGGACTTTGCCAAGTTCGCCCACTCCTTTTCTCCAAGAAAGAGCAGGACACCAATGGGAACCGGAAGGCTTTCCAGGACGATGCGGACCAGCTGGCCCGTACTTTCGCCAAGGAGTCTCGCAATGAAGAGATCTTGGACCTTCAAAAGCACATCGACGAAGACACAAGAGATGTGCTCTGTGTTGCAGCCTCGAGGATGGCCATCCTTCTTCAGGACAAGTCGCACTTCCTCCACCAGGCCAAGGCAGAAGCTTCCCCGCACAAAGTTCCTCTGGTTGAGCAAAAGAGGGCTCTTTTGAAGCAACTGGAAACCCGGCCTGACCAGGGAGGCCATTCCTGGCAAAGCTACCGTTCCGGAGTCCGTTGTGATCATTGCAAGCAACGGTTCCATGCCAAGAGTTTGGTGGCGGATCTACGGGAGGCCCTGGACTCAACCTGTGACATGGCGGCCCCTGTTTCTCAGCCGAAGAAAACTCGCTTTCAGGTCATCGAGGAGCTCATTGCTGCCCAATCTGGGGTGCAGCCAGGTGTACACCACTTGAAGCTTGACAAAGCTTACCTCCGCTGCTCCGAGTGTGCTGGCTACAGCTTGGCTCGCTGCAATGAAGAGATCTTCACCAACTTCGTGAGCGGAGCCTGCATGGTGGGACCTCTCGACCCCTCGCTTTGGAGGGGTCATCCATCGCACACCATGAGCCGGAAGGGATCAGTGGCCCGATGCACACGATGCGGTGGAAGCGGGAGGATCAAGCGCACGGAGGTGGAGCTGAACGAGAAGCTCAGGAGACGGTGCGAGCACCTAGGGTCAAAGGACCTCAGGTCATGGTTCACTTGAAGCACGTTCTTGCCCGAAAAGAGGCGTACAAAAAAACACATATATATATATACATATATGCACATGTATATCGGGTACCCCCCCGGGAGATCCACCCACCCCCTAAGATCAGACTTGGGATTTTCAAGTCTGAACAGCTGTCAGACTTGGGATGCAAGATTGCGATCCCTGGGTTGAAGATTGAAGATGTGAGAAAACTTTTCTCCATAGGACCTGTGTTTTTTCGTGACAGGAGGCAGTGCCGTGGACTAAGAAGATGTCCCAGCAAGGAAGCCCTTTGACACCTCTGGGATCCGGTGGCCAAACGCCGCAAGACGAAGTTTCTTTAATTTCCGTGCTTTTGTTCGCGCTCAAGATGTTGTGCTTTTCTCTTTTTCTCTTCCCGCTTCTTGGTTTCTAACAAAGGCTCTGAATGAGTTCTAGTTGAGTTGTAATTGTTGAATTCTTTTGAAATTCTCATTCAAATCGAACTTAATTGTCTCTAGTTAGAATTCAACTTCAATAATACCGGAGCGCAAGAAAATTCTATGTTAACTCTACTTGAATTCTGATTGAAATCAAACTCAATTCTACTTGAGCTCAATTGAAATCTAGTTGACTTCAATACAATTTTTCCGTGAACACTGACTAGATTCTAACTGAATACTCGTTGCCAAGAAATTGATTTCTGTTTGATTCTTGAGTCGATTCTAATTGAAAGCCATCTCAATTTTACTTAAGTTTAACTTGAAATCTGAGTGGGTTCCAAGTGATTGCCACTTGAATATTCGTTAAAATCTGGCTGAATGTTCAATTCCAATGAAATGCTGATTGTTTAAAAAAATTGTTTCTGATTGCATGCTATTTGACTTATTGAAATATTAGTGTAACTTAAATTCAATTGAGTTCTAGTCATTTGCGCTACTAGGGTCACCATGTCTAGAATGATCGCGTCGATATTAAAGGCTTTGTATACAAGCTTTCATTCTACAAACTTTTCTCTGATCTGTGGGAGTGGTCAGGTCTATATTAAAGAGCTCTATTCAACAAGGGTTCATTTCAAAAGCAAGAAGCTTGATACAAAGCCTTTTCTGCGGTCTGTGGATCTCTGGGAATATCTGGGAATGACCACTTCTATATTCAAAAGCTTGATACAACAGCTTTCATGTCAACAGCTTTTCTCTGGGTCTGTGGAATGGTCACTTCTACATTTTTATGTATAATGTATATGCGTTCATGTCAAAAATTTTCTCTTTGGATATTTTGATATAGGTCCACATATACGTCAATTATAGGTCACACAACATTGAAAGTCAGCTGTTAAAGCCTAAAGCCTATTTGTCCCACTCTTTCTGACACAGCATCTACACTTGGTTCGCTTCATCGCTGGTGCATACTTTCTAAAGCAGCCTCCTTGAATCCAATACAAATCTGCTTCCATATGCAAATGCCCTTGTGTACGTTGTCAACATCTGCCCGTAAAATTTGCGTACTCAAACTCACTGCATACATCCTTGAAGTATGCAGCGAGTGTGATTGCGCGTGTCTTTGGAAGAGCATCAAAGGTGGATCTCACCGGGGGTTTGCGCGCATATATATATATATATTTATATTTATACATACATGTATATACATACACATACACACATACACATCCAATCGGCCTCGGACCCAATAGATCAATTTCGCGTGCTATTCGTAGAGTTCGTGTAATGCAGGATTACGAGGAGGCTAATGGAACCCATCGAAGCTTGGCGCTTTTGGATTGGGAAGGTGCGCGCCAAAAGATTTAAAGCGATGAACTTGTATCGGCGTTGGCAAAATAGGTTCAGTCAACCCTATATACTGTGATGTTGGCAAAGATTCTTACGAAGAACTTACGTTACCGTTAAAGATACATCTAGCTAATCCCAGCGCAGGAAACAATCTTCTAGTCCCAGGCAGGGCTGCCCACTAGCGCCTTATTTTTCCTGGGAGCACTGTGAGGGCTGAGATTGCCAAAGTCTAACTGTCGTCGAAAATAACGGTTGAGATTGCCAAAGTGTAAAACTGTTGTCCAAAGTGGGTGCTTGCGATGCTAAGTGGTTATATAGTACACATGTACAGAACTGGCAACTTTGCAGTACAAATGCTGGCGAGTGGCTGGCTCAGTTGAAGTAGAAGTGTAGTGCGGGGGCTGGTGGGTTGGGGGTCAGAACTGGGGACTTTGTAGTGCTGGTGAGGGTCACTGCGCAGCAAAGATACGTCTGTGATGTTGCTGTGCCACGCAGTTGGTGAGTGTTGTGAGGCCTTGGTGGAAAGCGCGTTTGTGTGGGTGTGGGCCCGTGGGGATGCATGCGTGTGTAAGTGCGGCGTGTCGCTAGTGACCTGGATGATTGGTGATCCGGTATCACGTTGTTGTAGCCTGTGGCGCGCGTTGTAGCAAAGCCTCCACAAATACAAATGCGCGTGCAGCCCTCCACGTGGGCGCCGCCGGGGCAACCTTGTCTGCAAGCGGTATCTTGGGTTGTAGGTTGGAACCTTTATGGATGAGGAGGGCGAACCCAATCCGGTCCTTCGGTCTGGCGTTTCTCCGGTTTTCACGTTGGTTTTCTCTTTTCGCGGTCAGGCTCAAAGTTTCCCCTTGGGCAACTCTTCCCTTGGACACCGGTGTGGTGGCTGATTGGAACAGGGGTGAACTTGGTCGGCTTGACGCAACCAAGGTCCGAAGTGAAGCGGGAACACAAAACAGTCGGTTGTTTCCCGCCCATGGCTTGGCAAGTTTCATGTGTTGCACCTATGTAAATCAGAACGGTGCCGCATGTAAGTCTGGTAGTTGTGTAGTATGAGCGGAAGAATCACGAGCCTCATGGGCCCATGGGCGCGGTTATATTTTGTAGTAAACGGGGTGGCTGGTGCACCACCACCGCGACTTCAGCATCATCAGCATCAGCATCAGCATCAGCATCATCATCATCATCATCATCATCATCCAAGCGCGCACGCATACGCGCCTTCCATGGCCCCCAAATGCCGACTACGTGCAGCTGCCTACCCGCACACAGACGTACGAACGTGCGCACTACATGCATTTGCGCATGCGCGGCGTACGCGCACACACACAGACATGCCCATGCACGTGCGCACACCCACACACACACATCCACTCTGACACTCAGACATGTATATAAGTGGGCCACACAACTCGTAACGTTCTGTCTTTCAGTTTGCGCCTTGGGTCAAGGCTCGACTCGTCTTGGCAGCAAAAACGGTTGCTCTCGCCATGGAGAGCCGGATGTTGATGAGGTGGTTCCTCAAAGCCTGAGCACCAAAAGCACGAAAACATGTGACGAGGGCCACAGCGACCATGGACACACTTGTTTATGCCAGTGCAAATTTTCCCCTGTTTGACGCTTCAAGGCCACAACACTTTCGACTTGTTTTGGCATCAGTAGGTCAGCGGACGTGAATTGTGATCATAGGTCAAACCTTGTAAAATTTCTGGAGCGTGCGAAGTTTTGAAGGGTCATGCTGTCCAGGTGAAGTTCTGCTGATCCCCCCAGCCTTTGTACATGAGAGCAGCTGGCTTGGTCTTCTCGAAACAATGTTACTTGAAGTGTGGTTGTGGATAAACTCTAAGGCAAGAATGTTGGGTCTTGATCTAAGATGCAGGTAGCCTTCTACCCTGATAGTTTTGCCGCTCTGAGGTCTGGGTGTGCTCCATCATTGACGCTCTGCATGGCATGTTGCTTGTGGGTCGAGCCATGATTTGATGTCTTTTCTGTCATGCCAGGTTCCAGTTCGCCGACCCTGTGGCCGCAGGCCAGTTATTCTGGCAAGATTCCGGAAACTTGAGTTTGCCTCAGCAAGATAGGCAAGACGTCCCTTGACGGCACGTTTCTCAACCGATGTTTGGCGGTCTCACAGTGGGTGCAACGTTCCCGCTCTTTTTCTTACCCTGATGATCCCCGTGGTTTCCTTGATCTCAGCTGCTTTGACCTTTTATTTGCATCTCGTCCGTTCACATCACCTCATCTTGTTTCACCCCGATGTCACCTCTGCTTGTTTTCTGCGTTGCTCCGTTTCTTTTGTTTCACTGTTTGGCAGAGAAGCATCGTAGGAAGAAAAGAACATGGATAGACAGGCTCGAGGGCTCCTCCAACAAACTGGCTTGGTGCATTCACCCTTAAGCATACTTTAGCCGCTGTGTCTTGCTCCCGGCAGGTTTTTTTCCGGCACTTCTACCCACGACTACGGCGTTTGGGTGATTTCAATGAGTGCCTGACACACAGTTTTTACTCTTAAGATGTCGTTTGGCTTTGATTGAATCGGTTGGGCGATTGAGGAGTTGAGAATGTTGTCAAGAATGGGTTGAAAGACATTGAAAGACAGACACTGGAGCATTTCTTGCAGATGAAGTACAGTAACTTTGAGAGCCGGGTTTCAGGCTGAACTCGTATTCCCGTTTAACTTGCAGAATTAAATCATGTAGCATGGGACAGCTAATTCAGCTTGGTTTTCTATTTTTCAGAAAGAATAACTCCCCCTATTGTGTAGCATGGAAGTCCTGCGATTTTATGGTTTAACACCATGCGAACTAAGGGAAATTCAGCTCTGGACGCGTTATTTTGTAGGATATATATATATATATATCTACACTCAGTCACAATCAGGGACTCAAGATTTTGTAGAAGAACTGTCAGGCTGACTCAGCATGTTTGTGTTGTTTTGCTGTGGTTGGACAATGTCAACAGCAAGTCCATACACATACATCCCTCGCGGGCATTCCCCTACAACATTTCCTTGATCCTATAAAGTGCTGTTTTCAATCTTCATTTTATGGGGACAAAAGAGGATGGAGAAGAGATTAAAGGCCAAGTTTGAAGAGTAAGGCCTATACTTATAATGGGAGCTTCAGATTTCAGTTTTGCTTCAAGATCGACACCAGGAATCTATAATGGGTAGTGCATGTTTTCCTTTGAAGAGAACACCAAATGGTGTGGCGAAGTACTTTGATCGGCTTTCAGTGCGACATCACACTGATTCAAACAGATTTGCACCTATTTGCCTAGGATTACTAGGGGCTCCTGGCCGTACTACTAGGAACAAGAAGCTACTAGGGGCTCCTGGCATCGCTACTAGGAGCAAGGGATGCTACTAGGGGCTCCTGGCCTTACTACTAGGAACAAGGACGCTACAAGGAGCAAAAGGGCATCGCTACTAGGAGGAAGAACGCACCCAATCGCACAGAGATGAGTGCCGGCTTCGCTTCGAGCTATTGCTGCTGCACACTTCTCCGGCGCCATCAACAAGGTGTTGGCGGATTGCTGTGATATTTTGTTGCAATCCTGACTGCAGAGTGCCAGATCATATCAGACACATTCAGACATAATTTTTGGACTTTAATTTTGAAGGGCTGATGACTGAGGCTGGGAACGTGTGGCCGCGCTGGCTACGTTTGACCGCCGCCATGAGGGCTTGAGGGCGAGGCACTGGGGATATGGCCGATTCTGGCCCTGATATTTTTTTTTCAATTTCTGGTATGTTGGTGAACCGCATCTTTCACGCTGCCCTTGTGAGGCTCAAGGCTCTGGCTTCTACCTCTATTGCGTTGCACTGGCTTGTTTTGAAAGTTCTGCTGTGGAGACCTCGAGCCTATTGCTCAAGCTAGGACGCTGTCAAAGCTGGACAGTGCAGGGGGTGCAGTCAGCAAGCTTGCTAGCTTTTTCCTCAGTTGTAGCTTGTGATTTACATCTTTTGATGGGTCAGGAATTCATGCCTTCTATTGAACGTATTCAGCACATTATGCTTTTCGTGTTTGCTCTAGTGACGTCTAGTGTTTCTTGACGAACAGGTGCCATCACAGAGGTCGCGAAACAGGCAAGCGTAGACCCGGGCAAAGCAGAGTCTCAGCTGAATCTGTTGATTTCCAGTCGACAGGCATGGCCCAAAGTGCTAAGTTCTGTGGACCGAGATGGTGACCATCGATTAACCTGGGATGATGCATCGTCCTGAAGATCCAGCTATATTTATTTTTTGGGGTATTTGGGCATGCCATTTGCGAAAAATTGCAGTCTGCCACAGGTGCAATCCGACTTCCAGTTGCAAGGAAGCCTCTTTTTCCATGACCTGAATGAAGACCAGGAAGTCACGGAGGCATCTCCTGCATTGGCTTAAAGTGCACATACAGAAAAGTTCTGTTAAGCTTTCTCCATTGCAACTACATCTGGTGAATCTTTCAATGATTGGATTTCCTCTGGAATCTTTTGCCAGGCTGAATTCGAATCCGCCTTCGCAAGCTGGTTGATGATAGAGGCACCCTGTTCTTAAACATTAGGGTAGACCGCACAATTCTGATAGTTCTTTCAATACTTCAAATCTGTTTTGAGCAATGATGTGCAAACGGCCGCTGTGACCCAGACTGCTTGAGGTTTCAGTCCTGCAAGAGAAGAAGCAGAAACCAAAGATATTGAAGCACATCGAGCCGCTGAATTGCACTTTGCCTGTTTATGCTTTTAGTTTCGGATCACATTTGAATAGTATTTGCAGGTTTTAAATATCTATATATAATATTAATAATACTATAAATATATACATAAATATTAATAGTACTATAAATATATATACATATATATATATATACACATACTAGAGAATAGGCGTGTCTGGATGCTGGGCTGAGATGATTTTGCTTTGTCTCTCTTTGTCTCCCCTTGTCTCCCATGGCGTGTCTGGATGCTGGGCTGGGATCACTTTGCTTTGTCTCTCCTTGTCTCCCATCACATGTTTATGATTTTGCTTTGGCTGCCCTTATTTCCTATGGCATGTCTGGATGCTGGGCTGAGATGACTTTGCTTTGTCTCCCTTTGTCTGCCCTTGTCTTTGACAGCATGTCTGGGGGCTGGGATCTTTGTCTCTCCTTGTCTCCCCTTGTCTCCTATGGCATGTCTGGATGCTGAGCTGAGATGATTTTGGTTTGTCTTCCTTTAACTCCCCTTATTTTTTGTGGCGTGTTTGGATGCTTTGTCTCTATGGCGTATCCGGATGTTGGGCTGAAATGATTTCGCTTTGTTTTCCTTCGTTTCTCTTTGTCTCTTATGGCGTGTTTGGATGGTGGGTTGGAATTATTGGATTATTTTTCTTTGTTTCTTACGGCATACTTGGATGTTGGATTGAAATGATTTTGTTTTATTTTTTAATATTCATTTTTAATTTTTATAATATATTTGGATAATTTTTTAACATTATATATGGATTTTGTTATTATTGTGATTTTTTGAATTTAATTTATTTATTTATATAATTTATATATAATTAATATATTATTTATATTTATATTTTGAAAATTTAATTTGAAATATATATTTATTTAAATATGCATATATAATTATTTATGTTTATAATAATTAATTAGGTAAGAAATTATTTTTGGATATTTTTTAAAAATAATATATATATATATAATATTTCTTTTTTTAAAGATATAAAAAAATACGTTTTTTTTTCGGCTTTTTGGTTATAATTAAATATAATATTTGTTTTTATTAGGGTAATAATTGATATATTTTTAATTGGAAATTTGCTTGTTATATAAGTGTTATTTTAGCTTAAGAGGCGTGTGGGTGGGCTATTTTGGATAGATTGGTTTGATTTATGTAATTATTTTTTTATTTATTTTCGATAGTATGAATTTATTAATTGAAGAGTTCGAATTTAAGTCCGGATAATATGGATTTTAGAATAGATATAGATTTGCTTTTTTTGGATATGGGTTATTTATTTTTTTTTGGGAAAATTAAAATACCATTTTAATTTCATATTATAATATATAACAAATAAACCATTATGAGATTTGGGCATTGTTGGGTATAGGCTTCGTAATATATCGGATTCGATATATTTAGATAAAAAGAATCTTTATATGTGTTTGTTATAGAGCATTTGAATAAGGAATTGTAATTTATTATAATTGCCTATTATAATCGGCATAGGTTTTTTTTTGGAATTCGATAGATATGGATATAACGACCATAATTTCGATATAAATCGGATAGATCCATGTAAATACCCTAAACCTAGGGGGGTTGATTTGTATTTTTGAATGGAATATATTTTGTTCTTTATACTATAGCACTTGGTTTGTGATTGTCTAAGAACCGGATGAATAATGATGAATGAATGGAGCAATCCTTATTGGCACATATTATATGGAGTCGCCAAATTTGTATCGATCTTGGTTATGGTATGCATCAATATAATTCATAGAATTAATATATTTATTGCACAGCATATTCTAGATAGATTTATGTAGGGGCGCTTGTACTTATCTCGACTATACGACATTATGGCCGTGTATTAACAGGCATGGAATGTAATTGGTGGAATTTCTGCACTGCTTAAAAAGTGTAAGCAAGTATGGACGCAACTTCGTAATTGCCTTGCGCATATTCCACAAGCATATATACTTCTATTAAGTGGTGATTTTAATGTCCCGCAGGCAATGTTTTTTTTTTTAATGATCCTAAGTATTATCGAATTGCCCAAACCGATCGTCCCCTGTTGCAGGACTTGGTTGGGGACTACGATCTACTGGCCATTCCTACCCAGAACAAATATGTCCCCACCTTTGTTCATGGTGATTATAGGTTTCGCATAATTTAATGGCACCAGGTACAGGCGACCCACCTGCCTGACTTCGATTTTCTCTTTGCCAATCAAGGTCTTAGGCATATTCCGCTTAGCCTGATACTGCCGAAATGGTATCTTGTCCAGAAACCCAAACCACCACAATAAATCGACCGGTTTCGCATTCGACAGGCCTGGCAATAGAACTCCATAATCTGGCAGGACTTCCTCACTCAGGCTCGTCAGATGATTGCAGCTCAGGAACAGGTCATTCATACCGATTCGATCGATCAATGCACCAGGTTAGAGGAACAACTGATCCATCTTTGTCGTCAATGGTTTCCACCCAGCAGGAATCTGACTCCATCGACCACTCAACTGCCTTCTCTAACTGCCCAAATGTGGCAGGCACGGCGAGAAACACGTCTCCTCCGTGGGACACAGATCTCCACCTTGTTTCGAGGCTGGGCACTGATCACTCGATTCCACAACCTGCATAAGATCATCAAGAAATGCAGTAAGGAAAATAAACGCCAGAAACTGGACACTTTCCTTAAGGACAGTGCAGACCTCGCCATGCAGCACCGCACCTATAACTGGTTCAAGAGCATTCATAAGTTAAGCCCCAAGCAACCCCAGAGACGCATTCAGATGTATGATAATCACGGCCATCCACTGAATAAATAGTCCAATAGTTTAGCACTCAATTCTCTGATCCAGACTTTCGCCCATGTGAACTTGCTCCGCTTGAGGCCCTGCCCTTTGACCTTGCAGATATTCAAGAACAGCTGAAGCGCCTTCCGTCCACCAAAGCCTTGGCACCACCCTGCCTACCAGCCATAGTGTGGAAATATCTAGCTCCTGACCTGTCTTCGATAGTGTATCGTGCACTTTGATAATACTGGACTATTCAACCCAATGCAGTCCCAGAACATTGGATGGCTCCATTTGCTCCCCAAGCCCGGTAAACCCTGCAATAAACCGCAGGCGCTGCGCCCAATATGCTTGCAGCATCCACTATGTAAAGTAGCCTCAAGCTTTGCAACCAGATCCATCATGCAGTACTCTGTCACCCAGCTCTCCAAGTTTCCTTTGTATGCCTACCTGCCCAATAGAGGCACAACGGATTGCCTCTTGAGAGTTTCGGAGCACTGCAGAACTGTTCGAGACCGATACATTGCACATGCCAAAGATCATATGCCTCATGCTCTTTTTGGGGGATTTCAAATTTCATTAGACATGGAAAAAAACCTTTGATTCTGTTCGTCGACATACGGTCTACCAGGCATTGGAAGTCCTTCATCTCCCGGAATCCCTGCATGATTTTGTACAATCTTTTTTGGCCCCCCATAAGTACTACATTCCATACAAGAACCTTGTAGGTGAACTTATGGCCACACGAGGCATTCGACAGGGTGCCACAGATGCACCCATTCTATGGTCATTGTGTATGCATCTGGTCCTTAAGGACCTTAGTGGTCGCTACTCTCATCAATGGCTTCATGATCACATAATCATCTATGCAGATGATGTGCACTTGAGATGGACCTTCACCATCATGAGTGATGGTCTGATTGCCCTGATCGACCTTTCACACATACTCAGGACGTTTCAAGCATATGGTTTTAATATCAACAATATCAACATGTAAAAAGGTATCGCTTTGTTTCGTGCAGTTGGTCGAGCGATCCCGGCCTTCACCCGCAAATGGATCAGACGAAACAATCATGGTCCGCGACTGCTCCTGCCAGACATGCCTTTTACCCTGCCCATGGTCTCGAAAACGGCGTATTTGGGCATCATTTTGAGCTATAGGGCCTTGGAAACGGATACTGTCAACAGACGAATTCAAGCAACTCAGATGTGTTTCCATGTCCTCAAGAAGTGGCTCACAGCACAGGCGATTCCATCCATGATTCGTTTCAGATTGTACCACCAGTGCATTGTTCCCACTCTGATGTATGGTATCCATGAAATGGGCATCACTGCTAAGGGTTTTCGCAAGACTATTAGCACCATCAATGTCCATTTTCGTCGCATGGTTCGTTCTCCTGTGCACCTCACACATGAAACAACTCAGGCATTTTTTCAGCGCCTCAATCAGACACCACCTTGGATTCTTAAAAAGAGCCACAACTGTCGATTGCTTCAAGCTCTGGCTGCCAAACGCCAGCAGGCAGTTGACCAAGCAATGGCCAATGGGGATGCACCAGATGTTATCGTTCACACCCCAGCCTATCCGATGAGTCAACTGGAGGGCTTAACAGACACAGTGCCCTCATCTACTCAGGATCCAACTTTGACTCGTCCAGAGTGTCAAAGACCATTTAATCAGGCCGATTTACTCGAACGTCACATGCGCATAATGCATCAAATACCATATTTGCCAGAGGATGTCTTTAATGCTTTGCGTGATTCACACGATGGACTCTCGACATATAATCATTGTAGAATCAACTTTTCCAATATGATTGCCTTGACAACACATATCAACAAACATGTCTGTCCACGTTTTGATCGACTGCAGGCTATGATGACGCCCATTGTGGCCA